AAGATGGCGCCTCGAAGCCCCGAGGGGCCTCCAAGAACCCAAGAACCCTCCCAAGATTGCCTCCAGGGGCAAAAATTGTTGATTGCCCGTTGGTTTTCTCATGATTTGGGTTTCTCCGCTGCATCGGTTTCCTGGCGCTTCAAAACGGCCCAAACGGCCCCCAAAATCCCCCCCAACACGGCACAAGAGGACTCCAAAAGGGCCCCCAAACGGCTCCAGCGGGCTCCAAGATAACCCCAGAGGCCTCCAAGCTGGCCCAAGACGCTCCCAAAACATCCCCAAGAGCGGACCCAGACAGGAGACCCGAACGGAGATTTCGAGCTCTCGGCCCCGAGGGGTCCCCAGGATGCCCCCATACGCCCCCAAGCTCCCAAGAGGCCCCAAGAGGCCCCCAAGAGGCCCCAAAGAGGCCCCAGGAGGTCCCGGAAATCTCGCCAGGAGGCCCACGACAGGCGTCCAAAGACATTCGCAAGCCTCCCAAAAGAGGCGCGCCCACACGCCCCAAGTGGCTGCCAATAGCCCTCCCAAGAGAGCCCCAAGAGGCACGATCCATTGCTTCTCTATACTTAGCTCCCTCTCCCTTCCCTCCTCGTTTTCATTGGTTCAAGCGCCGAGGTTCCCAGGCCGCCCCCGGCCCCGAGCGCGGGGCCGAAGCGGCAGACAGCTAGGACAGGAGGCGCAGCGGCGCCGCAGGGCGGGCGGGCGGGACAAGCGGCCCCACCCTTGAGCCCAAGACGGCAGCAGGCATGCGGCGCGCGCGGGAAAGAAGCGAGGAGGGGGGCGCGGGGAGTCTAACTGAGGTTCACCCTTGTGAATCCGAGTTAGCTCCCTCTCCCTTCCCTCCTCTTTTTAATTGGCCCAAGCACCAAGGTTCCGAGGCCGCCGCCGGGCCCAATACCAATGGAGGAAAAGGGGGGAACGGCACAGGAGCGAGGCACTGCGGTGCCTAATTCTCAGGGCCAGACTCGTCGACGACGCCCTGCGCCAGCAGGCCGGCGGCCACCTCGTCGCCCGACACGCACGGCCGGGCTGAAGCCACCGACCGCCAACCACCTCTTGCGAGCATGGCTTCCACGCCCGAGGCAGCGAAAACGTCCGCGGCCGCGCCTCGCCGGACGTCGTGGCCAAACCACTCTTCGGGGCTAGCGACCCCGACCGCGCGCAAATGACTACGGAGCTCGGCTGTCCATGTCTCAGGGGTGTACCCGCCAAGCGGGCGGCCCCCGAACCTGAGGAGCTCGTCCCAAACGGGTAGCCACGTGTGCAAGCAGATGCCCTCATCGACTCCGCAAGTACAAAAAGCGAAAACAGTGCTCAAGTCGACCCGCTGCTTCCGGCGAGTCGGCCCGTACACGAACCGACCGCCTCGCACCTGCACGCGAGCGCGCGTGCACTGCGCAAACAGCTCGGATGGCATTTGTAACAGGAAATTTCAAGCAAGCGGTCCCACCCTTGAGCCCAAGACGGCAGCAGGCATGCGGCGCGCGCGGCAAAGAAGCGAGGAGGGGGACGTCGGGAGTCTAACTTAGCTTCACCCTTGTGAATCCGAGTTTGGGGCAGAGTTTGGAGTTTCCACCTTTCCGGCTTTCCGACGCTCCAAGACAGTCCGAGACGCCACCAAGACCGCCCCATGAGGCCGCCAGCGGCTCCCAAGAGGGCCCCAAAACGGCCCAAGAGGGCTCCAAGAAACCCCAAGACGCCTCCAAGACGGCCCAAGAGAGCCCCAAGAACGCCTCCAAAGAAGCTCCAGGGGCGGAACACGAAACATCATGTCGAACCCTCGGGGCTAAGCACCCCCCAGGAAGCCCCAAGAACAGCTCAAGTTCCCCCAACACCAACCAAGAGTTTCCTGTGCACTGCCTTCATAAGCTCACGGCTGCGTTCCGCAGAGACCCCACAACGCATCTCTAAGAAGTCTCACCCATAATCCACGCACAATGACGGGATGGGCCGAACGCACCTGAGCTCCAAAATGCAAAACTGCAAGCAACCATCGAGAGACACTCTTCTCCTCCTCCTCCCCTCTCCCTCCTCCTCCTCGTGTTGCTCCGCCCCTTCCTCCCCCTCCTGTTCCTGCTCATTTTCTGTTTCCTTCTGGACACGAGCACAGGCACCCAAAATACCGCAGACAAACCATCCAGAGACCTTCACGCCGCCTCTTCCCCCCAATTCCCCCTCCTCCTGTTTTTCCCTCCCCCGTCCCAAGCCTGATCCTCGTTGCGTTAGGCTTCCCAAAATCAGCTGCAAAATGCCTGGAGCTCATCCGCATGTACACACATACGCCCCCACTGATGCGCACAACCAAATACATAAATTCGCCGGCCCAACGGGCCAGAGGCGTGCTAAGATCTCCGGTAACAAGTTAACAATGGTTCTAGTTCGCGCGCGCGGGGCAGCCCCTGGGGGTCCCCGAGCGAAAAGTACCCCCGGCAAATTCCTGGCAAGTCCCGGCAAGTCCCCGGCAAGTCCGGGTCAGAGATGCCAGACCAGGCAAAGCATCGTGGCCTCCGAGGGAAGGCGCCATCGACTCCCCCCCCCTCCTGCCCCAAGAAGCCGCCAACAGGCTCCCAAGGAGCCAAGCGGCGCCCAAAAGGCCCCCTAAGAGGCCGCAAAGAGGCCCCCAAGAGGCCCAAAAGAGCGCTCCATGGGGGCCGGCGGAATGAGCGAAGCGATTAAATAAATTCCATGGAGGCGTTTTAGCCGAACGATTACTTTAGCACCGCGCCAAACAGCAAACAACAAAAATTACCCACCTCCCCCCCCCGCAAGCGACACCTATAACAAGGAACGACGGCAAGAATGCAAGGACCTGGACATTCGTTTCGAACACTTGCAAGAGCTTCAAGGATTGAAGGCGACTTGTTTTCAACATGTGCCTCTCGCCTTCGCGCCGCGCACATTCGTTTAAAACATTTGCACGGGATCCACGTATTGAGGGCGGCTCGTTTGCAACATGTGGCTCCTGCTTTCGCGCCGCGCACATTCGCTTTGAAACATGCACGAGATTCACGGGTTGAGGGCGGCTCGCTTTGCACAAGCTTCTCTGGTTGAAGGCAACTCATGTTCAACATGCGGCTGTCGCCTGAGCGCCGCGCGCATTCGCTAAATGTGTACGAGCTTCGCGGATTGAGGGCGGCTCGTTTCCGAAATGTAACTCCCACCTTAGCGCTGCGCACGTTTGTTATTAAACTGCGCACGAGCTTCACGGATTCAGGGCGGCCAGGGTAATAGGTAATCGTAGTAAGAGTAGTAGGCATAATAAAGGTAGTAGTGGAACTTTGTAGCACTAATACTGTATATCCTTACCTTTCCCTTCTGAACGATTCCTACCACACAACCCAACTAGACACTGATACTTGTCGGCCGTCCTAAAGGGGGGTGGCCCACCCCAGGGTATCGCCGCCGCCCCCTTACCACCACGGAAACGTGACAATGAACAAATGCACCCGACCGCGGGTAGTCGTAGTAGCGATACTGACTAACAGTGGAGCTAACACATGCATTTGGCAACGTATTGGAGTTGCAGTAATAATAGATGCTATAGTAGTAGCACGGGTACGTATACCTAGTAATATTAATAGTGATCGTAGTAGAACTACTAAAGATGCATATTAGGAGCTCCACACTGCAAAAATGCTAAAACGAATGTGCGCGGCGCTAAGGCGAGAGCCACACTTTGAAAACGGCCCGCCCTCCATCCGTGAAGCTCTTGCAAATGTGAGAACCGAACGCGCACGGCGCTCAAGCGAGAACAATATTTTGGAAGCGGGCCGCCCTCCATCCGTGAAGCTCTTGCTGAAATGTGTTAAAACGAAGGTGCGCGGCGCTGAGGCGAGAGCCACATTTTGAAAACGACTCGCACTCCACCCGCTAAAATCTTGCAAATGTTTGAAACGAATGCGCGCGGCGCTCAAGCGAGAGCTACATTTTGAAAGCGGCCCGCCATGCATCCGTGAAGCGCTTGCAAAGTGTTTAAAACGAATGTGCGCGGCGCAACGGCGAGAGTCACATTTTGGAGGGGAGGGAAGACTCCTTCTCCCCCCTCCTCCTCCTCCTCCTCCTCCTCCTCCTCCTCCTCATCATCATCATCATCATCATCATCATCATCATCATCATCATCATCATCATCCTTCTGCTGACGACTGGTGCCAGCATAACGCTTCCCGGTGCGGGAAGTTTCATCCTTTTGCTAAAGGGGGGTTCTTAATGACATGTTAGAGTTGTGGACCGGGGGAGGGCAAGGATGTAAGGGTACCCTTGGGAAGCTTGGCCATCCTTACTCGCGATTTCGACTGTACGGCACCGACGCATCGGGCACCGAGCATAAACGGCGACAGGGCACCGAGCAAGAATGGTAGACCGAGCAGAGGAAGCCCAGCGCCCCAGTCGTAGAGCGCCAAGCTGGAGCGGCCATGCAGAGCACCGACCAGGAGCGATCGACTGGGGCGCACGGGGACAGTTCCTCTGAGAGCAGGAAATGTAAGATGACGATTAACAAAAGAATGCGGGGGGAACGATTCACAAAATAGTTTCGGCTTCCGCTTCGCTTCGGCTCCGTCATGCCCGTCGACCGTCCAAGCGAGCGCCCGAGGAGGGCGGGAGGATACGATTAAAAAAAAGGTTTGGCCGGCTGGGTCGGGTTTTCTTAATCATCCTCCCGGGCGCCGCCTCGTGAGCACGACCCCACGACCACTGCCATCTGCATCTCCCATGCCATTCACACTGGAGCTGGCCCGCCTCCAAGCCACGCTCAAGCCAACAACACCAAGGGCAGCACGAAGGCCCCCCGCACGCAGGGCCTCAGGACGACGCCGAAGGAGGACCCCCCAGAATGACCCTCAGCGTCCCCAACCCATCATTACCCCCATCCGTCCGCGAAGAGCTCTCCAGGAGCGTGTCTGGGAATGCGTCGACGGCCGTCGGGCGCTCCCCGCTCCCGGTGCGCCCGCGGCACACAGCCTGGAGACGCCGGGCGGGCGGGGCCGGAGGCCGCCGGATACCCTGCGGGGCTGCTCCTCCGCCGCCACCCTCCGGAGGTGGCACTGGAAGGGGCCGATGAAGTGGTGCCTCAGCATGACCACGGCAGGAAGAGGAGAGAGCAGCACCGACACGGCCCTGGGGAGACCAAAAGCTGCCGAGACCACTACTGCTCTCCCCAGACCTCTCCCTGGATGCGTCATGACCGGAAGCTCGAGGCGTCTGCAACGGTGGCGACGAGGGCGGCCAGAAGGGGAAAGCGAGGGAAGGGTAGCGGTATGGGTACCTTTTCCTCCGAGACCCGTCGAAGGTCCGCGCAGGCGTCGCGGATCGGCGCTACAGGCCTCGCGCACCGCGACCGGGGGGCGGCACTGGAGGCGCCGCCACCAGGGAAGCCCAGCGCCGAATTCCGATAAAGCTGCGCGGGCCTCCGAAGGTTGGCGGCGCGCACATGGGGGGTACAGTGGACACGCTGCCATAAGGAACCCTAAACAAGGAACGAGGCTCCTTTTTCCCATAAGTTAAGTAGAAAACCCAAGGGAAGCCTACGACAAACTGTGAAACACTGAAGGAACACTCTGCCCCTCCCCAACAAAAAGGAGTCCGTCTTCAGCGGCCCGACTGTAGGGGGAGAGGCGAAGGCTTCTTAGAAGGAGGCTGCTTCTGAGAAGGCGCCGGCCTTGCATCTATAGATAAGGCCAGCGCCTTCTAAGAAGCAGCCTCCTTCCAAAAAGCCTTCCCCCCTCTCCCTACCCCCTTGTGCGCGTGGCTGACAAAGGCTTGCGTTGATGCCGCTGTTTCTTCTTCGACATGGGGCCCATGCTCACGTGCCAGCCAAGGCCCCCCGCGGCCTCCGCCAGGTGCACCTCTGAGATGGAACGATGGGGGGGAAGCATTGGGATGGAGTCGAAGATATATCGCCGATATATCGGCGATAGGCCTCCGATAGCGAATCCGCATCTGGGCCCCCATCGTCGATGAGTGGGCAACAGGGGGTCGATGCATCTCCCCCTGAGCCTACCCCACCCTGACGCTGGCCCCTAGCTTTCGGGTCATGACTCGGCAATCTGGCGGCCGTTCGGAACGATCAAGGCACTCCAAGGACGTTCTCGGCGAGGCGCGGCTGCTGGAGAGCATACCAAGCTGGAAAACCGCCTAGAACTGACGAGACCATCCAAATACCCGAAACGCACCACCTTGCCCCTGATCAGAGGTCGAAATCGACACCTGACCTCTCTCGGCGTGCGCTCTGATCAAAATTTCGAGGCGGACACACCCCTTTGCGGCGAGGGCTCCCCAGGACGACCAGAAACGTCCAGACACCCAACCTCGAACGTGGAACCTCCCTGCGCCCGAGACCATGGGGAAAGTGGGAGCAGGCATTCTCGGAGGGCGGCGGAGCTTCTCGGAAGCCCTCGCGACCTCTGAGAAGCCATCTGCGTCTTCGGAGAAGGCTCAGAAAGCGCACGTCCGAGCGACGCCAAGAAGCTTCTCTGAAGGCCCGAGGCCTTCGAATCCTTGGGACCGCTGGGAGCCCCGACCCTTTCCAATGGCGCGATCCTGCGGGTACGCGGTGACACGGATGCGTTCCGCGCGGGGCACCCGCGAAACAAAAAACGCGCCTTATCCTTGGCGTCGCGTCCCAAGGGCTCAGCACGCGAGGCCGCGGATACGGATATGTTGCTCGTGGTGTTCGTCACCCGAAAACCCTCCTCCTCCTCCTCCTGATCCTCCTCCTCCTCCTCCTCCTCCTCCTCGTCCTCCTCCTACTCCTCGTCCTCTCCCCTGCTCCTCCGCCTGCTCCTCCCCCCTCCTCCCTCCTCCAACTGATCCTCCTTCTCCTCCCCCCTCTCTTCCACACCCTCATCATCATCATCATCATCATCATCATCATCATCATCATCATCATCATCATCATCATCATCATCATCATCATCATCATCATCATCATCATCATCATCATCATCATCGTCATCGTCATCGTCATCGTCATCGTCATCATCATCATCAGCAGCAGCAGCACCACCAGCAGCAGCACCATCATCATCATCAGCATCAGCATCATCATCAGCATCATCATCATCATCATCAGCAGCATCATCGTCATCATCATCAGCAGCATCATCATCATCAGCAGCACCACCATCATGATCAGCATCATCAGCATCATCACATCATTATCATCATCATCACCATCTTGATCATCTTGATCATCATCATCATCATCATCATCATCATCATCATCATCATCATCATCATCATTATCATCAGCATCATCATCATCGTTGTCCTCCTCCTCCTCCTACTGCTCCCCCTTACATTTATGGTGTTGTTTCTGAGTGTGCTTCCTTCTTCTTCCTCCTCCTCCTCCTCCCCATCAGCATCCCATGTCTGTTCCCTATAGTTGCGTTCTCCCTGTCGCACCCCGGGGCTAATCATCAGAAAAGTGCGCAGGGCGTTTCGCCGGCGGCGTCCTCACCACGTAAGATCCTGCAAGAATTCGCACCAGCTCCACAAAGATAGGGCGGGCAACTTTCAAAATGCTGTTTTCACCATGGCGCCGCGTTCTTTCGTCTTAACAAACGCAAGAGCTTCACGGACTGAGGGCGGACAGTTTTCAATATGTGGCTCTCGTTTTGGCGCCGCGCGCATTCGTCTCAAAAATGTTCACGGATTTCGTGGATTGACGGCGGGCCGTTTTCAACATGTGGCTCTCGCTTGCGCGCCGAACACATCAGTCTTAAACAAACGGGAGAGGTGTCACGAATGGATGGCGGACCGTGTTCAGAGTGCGTCTCTCGCCTTAGCGCCACGCGCAATCGTTACCAACAGTGTCAGGAGTTTCACGGGTCCCGATGGTGAGCGTTGATTCATGACGTCGGCATCAGTTTTATCGCCCGGCTCAGAACACCCGACCTGGTCGCACGCGAAGCGCGCGGCCCACCTCCGAGGAGGGTGCCCAGAGTGCCTGCATGAATTCACATGCGGTCGGCCCATACAGCGTCAGAGTGGACCCAGAAAACAGCAGCGGCTCACGTAGCGCGGAACCGCCACAGCTGCATGGGGCTGTCTGGTAGCCAGCCTGAGGATACGGGCGCTGGCGCCACACACCCTTGCCCGCGAGCCTGAAGAAACGATGGATTACCCAAAACAACAGCGCGACTTTGGTCCCCCTCACCTCCGAACGTTCGGAGGCCCCCGAAAGGCAACTCCGATTAAAAGAGCCCGTCCAGGGTGACGATCGGGTTGCTACCCACCTGTTTTCGAGGAGGCGGCCGAAGCCCTCTGTGGCACAGGTGCCCAAAAGTTGCGTTTTGGCACGATTCCGGATCGTCAAAACGCAGCAAGCAAGCTGACTCGTGGCGTAGAAGTTCCGAAATGGTGTTTGGGAGCGCTTCGGGAACTTCAAATAATTCACGTTCGACGGGGCACTTCCCTCGGCGGAGATGGACCCTTGCAGGTGCCTATGGAGAAGGACCTCGCAGGGATAGTGAATTCCAGCATCGCTGATGTCTCTGGATTTGCACTAATAGTCCTCCTCCTCCTCGTCTTCCTCCTCCTCCTCCACCTCCGTTTCCTCCTTACGTTTCAGAATACTAGTGGTAATATTTTTAGTACGATTACTGGTATTACGGTCGTACTCGTATTGCTGAGGTTGTTGCGTTGTGTTGCGGCATCATCATTAACCTGAGGAGTAGTGAGGTTACTATGAGTATTCGTATTCGGTTACTATTAATGCTCGTACTAGTATGAATTACTATCATGACTGATTATGGTTTGTATGTTTATGAATCGTGTGATCACTATGTCTCTTATTGTTGTTGATCGTATTACTCCTCGTCCTTCCCCTCATCCTCCTCCTCCTTTTCCTTCTCCTCCTCCTCCTCGTCCACCTTGATTCAGTGGCTCTCTCTTGGCTCCCACCAATCAATGATCGAAGGGGCTGCGAAAAGGGCCCCCGAACACCACCGACCACCTCGACCCCGCACTTGCAAGGCGGATCCCGAAGGCCAGGACCGCCGCGCAGGCGCAGGGCTGAGGCCCAGGTGCCGGGCCCGAAGGCCATGGCCAAAAGTCCGCCGCCCGCCCACAGTGGGGCGGGCACGCACCAGACAAGAGATACTTAAGTCATAAGTGCTGCCGCCTCGTCCACCATTCAACCCCCTCGGATTCGGGGTGGGTCATGGGCCACGGTTTGGAGACATGTTGGCCTTTTCGGCCACGGGAGCTTACCTCTCAGCAGCTGACCTCGCTGCTGCTTATAAACCTTCAAGCACGGGGACCCTAGAGCACGAGCCTGACCCGAAGTATAGGCCCCGCACGACATGTAAAACACTATGGGGAGATCCGCCTCCAGGACTCTGCGCACATATAGCCTACTGGGAGGGGTCACCTGGAGGTCCCTGAGCTTCATCAGGGACGGGGTCAGGGCCGCACACTTCCCAGGGGCCGATTTGCTAGCGACGCACTTAGCACACCTGACACAACGCCAACGATTCCCAATCCAGAGCACTCGGTGAGCGCGGCTGCCAAGGGGCCTCGGCTCTAAACCTTCAGAAACGTTTCTATCTAGCTTCCCAAAGAGCTCTTGGGCCCCTGGAGCATCAACCAGAATATTTGCTACACCTAAAGCCACCTCATTCCACCCATCAAGACACGCTTCGTAGCGATGTATACTTTCAACAACTTTGGGATGTATCTTGGCGCCTTTTTTGGCGCATTCACCAGGACGGCCGTTCCCTTTTCGATGTCTCAAGGCCTTTCCCTCGAGGTTCTCACCCGCGACGTGGCTCTTCACTTTGAACAGCCGCCAACGCGGAAAGACGTTAGAATACAGCGCGCGCCAAACTTCTGCCAGCGGGCTCTGGCCCAAGGTGGCCTGCGGCGGGCCCTTCCCGCCCGACAGCAAGCTCTTACAGTCGATGTGGCTGGTGAAGCAGACTGAGTCATCATCATCATCATCGGGCACGTCATTGAGGTGTTTGAGGCACTGGGGGAGACCGTCGGCTTCTGCAAACACTGCCGACGGGGGTAAAAAAGCCGGGAAGATTACCGCACACAGCTTCCGTGTAGTTACCTGCCACATCGAC